AGTTGCAGGTCTTCTACTTCTATTTTTCAGAATAATTCTTAATCTTCGCAAATTGGATCATATAAACGATAAATGCAGGTATGTTTTTAACATGCCTTTTCTAGCACACCGCGGCAAGTGTATTTGATGCCTAATAACGGAAAGTTCAAGATGATCATCTCATCATTGAAAGCATCTCTAGACACACGAATATCTGCGATAAGCGTGTCATACTTCGGATTTTCGGTTGACGCTTTTAGATATATTTTTAAGCTGACACATGAGTCATTTGAAATTTCATTTGCGCAAAAATATCGGTTCTTCAAAATCAATTTTATTATATATACAATATATGTATGAAATCAAATATTTCACAATTGTCTTCGTTTCAGTTTATCAAGGAAATAGAGAAAGGATAATTGGAACAAACATTAACAAATTTCCTTTATCATTGTCCTCTTTCAATCAGTTATCGCATGCAATGTGGTAGACTTATTGTTTCGTTCAGTTTTGACACGAGGCCAACATTGGAGTTGAAAGCGGATATAATTGCCCTGAAAAAGAACTGACCTATGACACCATATTATTACATCGGCCATTCGCATAAATGATTTAAGCTGTGATGAAATGACTCAAATAGACTTCCGATTTAAAACTGAAGACAATTTAAACATCAGAAATTCCCACCCTAGAAGTAAATTTTACGTGTTTTATTTTGATTCGTGAGAACTTTAGACATTCTGTGAACTCGCGGAATATCTATATATATATTATGATAAATTTACAATATATTTATATTTCAGAACATCTAAAATATTCAAAAATATGTATGGCAAATTTGAACTTCAGTACCCTTTTTATCATTTGAATCAACATCCGAGAAATGATTTTTTTCTTTTTGGTATATTCATATATATATAAATAACGTGTAGGCATCATTTACATATATATTTTTTTTTATAAATTTTGTAACACTTTTTTTATTAATTTTTTTATTGAAACTGAGTTGCTCGAAAATCGAACCGAATAAACGAAAAAGATATTATTGTAGGGTTGAAGTATAAACAATACGATAGGATATGTGATCTTAGATTCCAATCAACTCAATGAGACATATACACGATTTTACCTCAGGAAATAACCCCAGTACTCCTTACCCCACTAATTTATGCCAGGCAACCCTAATTTTGTGGTTAACCTGCTGTACACTGTTTAGAAGCAACCGCAATGGCAATACGATGTGTGTAAAGACCTTATGCAATTTTCGCATCCATGGCACACAGTTGATCAGCACAATTGTAGAGAAATCTATGGTTTCAAGGTAGTCTTTTTTAATTATGAGGAAACCACAATAGATGTGAAGCCGGTTTATTGCGCTAATGCAAATCCTATTAGGGATTATCGTTATCATTAGTTTTCACCCCGAGTTTTTGTTGCAAAATATTTTTTGTTGTTGGCATCCACATTATGCTTTAGCACTCTAATATTTAATGCATCCTATGCTCGCATATATACACAGTATGTAATCCCACAAACATATCTTACGCTGCTTAATTACTAAAAAGATCTGCCTGGTACAGAAACTCAACAAGCAATCTTATAATATCCCAACATTCCTGTTTGATAGAGTATAACTATTGTAACCAAAGCTGCTTTCGAGAGTAATTTGTGCAAAATAATGTTTCGGATTTATTTTGAAACTAAAACTATAAGAAGACAGTTGACAGACATGTTCAATGTTTAAGAACAACAAATTGGGGATGCGGATGCTTTGCTTGGAATCTTTTGAAAATTGTATCTCTAAGAATTTTATGCTTGATTTATTGCATAGTTTAATGTACCGTGTTCGCCATAGATTTTTAGAATAGGTAACCTATTCGTTATAAAGAATGAATACATAGACATGTATTGAATCATTTAAATTGTAAATCATAAGCATTCCCACAGTTATGTATGAAATTTTTAATTCATATTTTCAATCATGTCATAAAGATATGTATTGTTTTCGTTATCATATGCATTATTTGTCTATTTTTTGCATTTTCAATTATAAAAATAAAATATTCATGGCGAGATTGGAAGATATTATAAAAACCACACTGTCTCTTGAAATTCGCATTTTTTTGCAAAGAACGGATATATGCACTTGAAGTCGAGCTAGTTTTTGAGTCATCTTTCAAAATCGAGATAAAAACAAATGAAAATAAATAAAATAATTTCAACTCGCTCAATCCCGTGGCTAACTCGAAGTAATTAATTTGAGACTGTCGGATGCAACGATTTGATATCACGCATATTCAACTGAGTACATATGAAATTATATATAGAAAATGATTTTCTTATAACTAGACTTACTGTATTACAGTTTTCAATGTTTAAAAGATAGAATTACGTTAAAGTTTTATATTATTTTATCATGCTATACCGTCCCGGTTACAACAAGAAACGAAAACATACGTACAATTTTTTTTTATTATTGTGGGAGTAGTTTATATCCAATACTAGTTACGTCATCCTGAAATTTCAGCAATTGCATGTACAGGGAAAGAGTAATATTTAAAAAAAGTATAACCATTGGTCAGTTTTAAATTCCAGAAATTCTAAACGTTCCGTATGATTATTTCAGGTATTAGAACGCACCACTTAACATTCATTGTTACTAACGCAGCAGGTAACAAAATACGTTACGTCTTTTTGAAATGCGGCGGGATAGAGAAAGTTCTTTTAACTACTGAGGTAAAAGGCAATAACATTTAAATGACCCGCTAACCATCTGAATTAAGAAGGACAATTGAACTACACATTGTTGGATTACAAATTCGATAAATAAGTAAAAGCTCTTTAATATTAAATTTGACGTAATGACGTACTGCTGGAAAAACTAAATGAAAAAAAATTACTTTCGAGAAAAACAAAGTTATTCTTAAAACTGTGTTTTGTGCGCAATTTAACGCAATGGTAATGGACTGATCCGTTGGTCAATCATGGCCAGTGACGAAACGCAAAATTTCAAGATTACCGGCTTTATCTTTACACGCCAAAAAGCGTGCCGTGATGTACATGATTGGCAGTAGCTCATCACTCGGATTTGTGGGTCAATCCAGTATACTAGGCACTGGGAACCCTTAAATGCCATAATTGAGATTTTCTTTGTTTCGAAGGTAGAGGTTTGCATGCCAAGGATAATAAGGTTATTTTTTGGAAGCCGACAGATATTTTAATGCTCGATAAAATCGTGTAAGGTTCTTGTCGGAAATTGTCATATTTCAAAATAATAACAAAATGATATTGATGCATAATATAACTTCGTTGCAATGAAATTACGCTAATAAGTTGAATGAAATATTCATAATAATAAATTTGTGCTTGAAACTTAGACAGAATATTTGCTTTGGTAATTCATCCATCCAGGATTAAAGAACCGCCCTGGCCTCAAATGCGTTTACATTCTGTACAAAGAGTTTTTTCAATGGTTTCCATTGCCTATTGAAAATAAAATGTGAAAATCTTCAATCATATCAATTTATCTCCATAAACGTTATTGCCAGTACCTTTAAAATGTCACGAATAAAGAAATGGAGGTCGGAGCTCGGAGGTATTAAAGTAACCGATCGTTTATATCAAAGATATCAGTTTTAACAACAAGCACTTCATAAAATGTGGGTTTTATGAAGTTTTCGGAAGGGTTTCAACAAAGGTTCGAATTATAATAAATGCAATAGCGGACTTCGGAGATACTGCAACGAGATTAGCGAAAAAATTGCGGCCAAGCAAATATTCCAATAATGAAAATGTAGATTGACGGATCATAGGTTCATGAGTTTGTTGCACGTTTAAGGGTTATCAGATGTAAGATGAAGTATGGTGGCTCCAAAGTGGCATTTCGACACAAATTTGCACTCAATTGGACATGAATACATCACATCACACTTGTTCCATGAGTTTTATTATACACTAGTTTGTCATTCTAGTTTTCGATAAAACATATGTCAAAAACATTCAAATTAAAAATTGTATGTAAATTTGTGGCATATAAAACCTGTCGCTCAGAAATTTGTGTTTTTTTTATCAACACAAATTTATGACGTAGGTACAAAGTCACTATGATATGCTAACAACATAGTTATTTATCCAGTTCATCAACAAAAATTGTCATGACCACATTTTCAGTTTACGTCGGTAGATTTTGGTTTTGGGGGTCACATCTTAGTTAACGCGGTACGACAAATATGTCTACGCCTCGTACCAGTGCATGACTTGTACACTTTCAGAGGAATTAAGCTACAACCTAAGGTGAAACAAGTAACTTCACCTTTGGTATGTAGCGGATATAATCGGTTAAGCCAACCATGCGCAAACAAGGGCGTTAATACGCCCCCTAATAGACGAGTTTATCCGGATTTCATAATCCTTTTGTGGTTTGTTAATTTATTGCCCATTTTTGTTCTTCTAAAGTCAACTAATAGGCCTGAATGCAGTTTAACACTCGCGATTGGCGCCTATATACATTGAGACATCTGTATGATAATAAAAAAATTTTGGAACTAATTTTTGTAGATTCTTCAAAGCAGGACTGATATTACCGATCCTATTGTGGTATTTGTATATTGCATGCCACATTTATGCTATTCGAAGATACCTGAAAGTAAGAAAGTCATAAAAAATTCCAACGTTTTTTTTTCATTTATCTGTATTACATCAAGTTGCTGTCAGTTATTCTGTTGAAAAGGGGATAGTTGCTTCTTCCAGTCACGTTTCCCCAGCGGCATAAACTACCTCAGATATCCATCCAGTCTGAAACCTCATCTCTTAATAAGCTATGCACCATTGTTCCTTACGTAGTTATATCACCGAAAGCCAAGGTCACTGGCACATGTCTGAACCCGTCGCACAAGTTCACTTTAAGTCACGGAAACTCTGAACCACATTAATCAACACGAAACAAGCAAGAATACATCACATGCCTGATCTGGCCATAACTTGTAGTTTCTTATATTACAAACAGTGTTGTATTTTTTTAAAGATTTATTTAGCAAATTAACAGTACATCGCAATTACAAGCAACAAGCAAGGTGTTTCTAACGAAGTAAAAAAACGAGTGATATCTGAATTAATTTTATAGATCATTGTTTATACGTGGCTCATATTTGAATCACTTATTTAAGTTTATTGAAGGGGAGCCAACGCAACTAAATATTAAAACCAATTACTCTTTCGTTTATGAGGACTAATTTTCAATGTTCCCTAATTGTATGTTTCTTCAAAAATGTACATTGCCCGATATTCGTCGTCGGTTAACAGCATTGGATTGGCGTAGAATACCAGTCAATTGTATACAGTTATATAAAATAAATCCTGAAGCATGAGCAATATGAATGAAGCCAACAATAAATGAAATGCAATAATATATATATAATTCTACTACACAGCAAAATAGTAAATTGATGAATGATGGATGCATAGGCGCATATACAACAGAGTCGAAGTTGAAATATACAATAATATATTGTCAATAATAACATATTTTCGTTTCTGAAGTATTAGTCTTCGTATATATTTGAATAATACCTATATCTCAGTAACAAAGGTGCAATTTATGATAAGATTGACCATATTGTTCGTTTTTCTTCGTGATATCAATTCAGTACATCTAGTAGTCTTTGCACACACCACACGAACATCGCTCAGCAGACTGGATGGTTTCTATTCGAGGAACTCCGCCGCAGTTGATCTTGAAATGCACCTAAACATAATGAAAAAGAACTTCTATTCAAAATTCAAATGTACGAGGCGTCGTTCCTAATAATTGCCCATATTAGGCAAAATTTTCGGAAAGAAATTAAGCAGGTTTGTCTCATCCTCGAGAAACAACAGTATGAGAAGGTAATGTTGTGAACTTTGGCCTACAGACTCGTTTTGGCACCCCCTTTACAATTTGTAAAGGTATGTAAGTGTTTTACAACGTCTTGTATGACTTTATTCATTGGTATTTGACTGTTTTATTTTTGCTCCGCATTATTAAGCAGTCCATGTATCACGGACTTCTCCGTTTCGCGAGATAAATACAATTTCGCTTTCTATCCCATGAAATATTTCTAAATACTTCAATCAACTGCGGTATATCAATGGGAAATTTGAAAAATGTGATCAGACAAGTAATCCAGGTACCGGAAACATTATCATCAAACGGCACACGAATCGCCACATAATGGCGCCGTTACTGTATGGGAAACATCATTATCTGTATGTCATCAATTAATTTCTGATTTTCTGGTGTATTATGTGCTTCTATTTGATACATTTTTGAGATAAATTAAAGTTTATACACATATGTATATATTGTAACAAGGTGATTAAGGCATATTGCACTCTATAAATCATTGGTGTATTTATCTTCATCTTGCAGTAATGAATATTAATTTTAGTTCACATTGTTCATTGAGTTGTAACAATATAAACTTTTGAAAGACACAGAAAGATAATGAAGGAACAATGCCGATATAAATCGTTAAATGTCCAAAATGCGTGTCTTGTACCGGCGTTGAAAGTTTACAAACGATGTCAATGGGCTTAAAAGGTCATTCATTAAAACTAATGATCTCAATGCGAATCTTAGATAAAATCATTTAGATCTTATCATGTCATAACAATCAACAAATTATGCAGTCACGTGGTATATTGACGTCAAAAGTTGTGGAGAAATTATTACTTTCATCAGCTAAAAAATTAATATCAGTAAACAAAAATGTTGGAACAAAGTTCCCAAATAGCAAAATTGAAGACAACGTATGAGTATGTTGAAACTATTTCATTTTGCAAGTTTCACGAGAACCAGCTATTATAGAGAACGAATCCTTCCGGACATGCATGTATTGCTCTTTTCTTAAATCTTAGGACCGCATTTGTGAGAACATATCATTTTGATGTCAACAAGGTACATAACATATTGCAAAAAGATATTATTGTAAAAATCAGTAGATAACGTCACGCCAGAGCAATAGGTCGATATATATATAGCAAATTGACGAAAACGACACTTTTAACGCGAACCGTATCAATTTCCAATAATGCGATTTTCACGCTATGGGTAAAGGAATAAGTATAACTACATAGTATTTTGATGTCTAATCTGTCAAAATTATGTCAATTGTACAATATCGCTGTTGGAGTCATATTACATATTATAATAAAATAGATATTACCCATTTGCGCACATAATCATTCAAACATCAAATTCTGAATGGTATAAACATCACGATATTAAGAATTTGACATTCATTTTTTCTGAAATTGAGAAATAAATTTCAACGATTATTTTTATGTATTCGCAACAATGAAACTGCTATCACGATCATTCAACAGACGACTCCTATTCGAAAATTGTCAATATTAAAGTAAAATACAACCTATTGTTTAACCTTATTTCCACTTTTATCATCACAACAATTCAATAATAATTTCATTTGGTCATATAGGGGCAAGTTGCAGTCAAAAAGAGCATGTAATGGCAAAAATGTCAATGTTTGCTTTTACGACGCGTTAAGTTTATTTCCTAAACACAATGGCTTTCATTTGTTTTAGTCAATAACAGCCTCCAATCTCCACTTGAGCGAGGTAGTGCCAGCACCTGGTAAAGTTGAATCTTGAATGAAAAGATTAATATTAGTCATCGAACTGCGTTTGAATTTGTAGTTATTTACTATGACTTGTTGCCTTGCTCGAACTGATTACCTTGGTGGCAAATGTATACAAATACAGCCAATGGACAACAATAACAAGGTAAATTCTTGAAATACTTTCTATTAGGTTTTCAGAAATTAAATTGTAAATAATTATTCAGCAAATATGTCTGTAAACAAGAAAAAATGAGTTGTGTGTTTCGTATCATCTAGGCCAGGGAAACAAATAGCTTGATCTTTCTCCGTTGAGTTTAAATTTTGCAAACGTTTACCAGATGCAAACTATGGAGATAACCATAACCGTTTAATAGGTTGAATAAGAGTTGTATTCAAGTTCACAATATGCAACAAAATCTATCATCAATCTTTCCTTATTTATACACAATACTAGAACTCATGCTCAATCGGAAGCGATTGTGTACATAAATTAACGGGTGCTGCTTGCAACTGATCTATAATATGTTGAAAAATTTGTCCAATTATCTGGAATTACACTCAAGTTAAACCAATAGAAATGCATTCACCCATGATTATCTGAGACCATCAGACAAAAGTCAATCAGTAGGGTGGGATTTAGATCAAAATATTTGGAGGGTTCCCTTCGAGCTTTCGAAAGTTTATATGGTGACAGTTTCTGTCTGCCGAAACTCAACGTGGTATTGAAACGTGATTTTTAGGAAAGATTGTTCCAATAGACCAGGGTCGTCCAAACCGTGGCCCGCCGGTCATATGTGGGCCCGCGCTGTATTTTTCGGAATTGAATAAAAAATAATTGAGTATTGATGTCCGGAAATAAAAGAGGCGTTTGCAAATATAAGCCTGTCAAGACAGACGATTCTCGTCGTGTTGAAGAGTTTGGGAATTCTATAGCAGGAGCTTCAATTGCAAAAGCGGGAAAGTTTTCATCGTATTCCTTGGCGCTTCACGAAAATACTGGCAATAAGTCTACTGCTCCTCATGCGTGGAGTTAATGATGATTTTGAAATTACCGAAGAGCTCACCGCAATTGTCCCAATTATAGGCACGACTATGGTCATTGATTTGTTAGGAGCTGTGAGGGAATGATCAAGCGTCTTGGCTTGTTTTTTGCGTAACTTTTGGGAATAACCACTGATGGCGCCTCATCAATGGTTGGGAAACAACAGTTTTATTTTTCTAATAATTGTGAAAGTTTGGCGTGAGGGTATTGTTTGTTTTTTCATTAACCTGCAGTCAGTGAGCAAAACTAAAACATAACTACAATGTTAAGTGGCGCACTTATTAGTAAATTACATGTGGTTGGACAACCTTGCAATAGACAGAGGACATGCAAAGATTCTGATACGAAGTTCACCTGAAATAATCTCAAAGATTTGTTTTATTTTAACACAGCAATAAACACGTGTTTCACATCTGGAACATCGTGGTCCCACGAGTTACTACTGGTCATTCATGAAACTTAATTGTGAGTCACTGAGTTCTGTCATTTAAAAGTATGTTGGCCTTTTGCACTAATGCCAAATCATGTTTTTACCACAATGTTTACAGTATGTGCTTTCAAGTGACAGGATACATCGGTAGCCACTAAATTTTAATCAGTCGATCATTTGTTTGACAGCAAAATTGATGTTGTTTTCATATCTGACTGGTTGCTATGTCAAACTGTTATCACGTTTCAGAGATTTAACCTGATTTTAGACATATGTGGTAGTATCTATAATACTGATAGTGCCAGATGTGCCTTTCACAAACTCTATATGGAGGGATCGTCTGAAGACAACTGAAAAACGACTGAGGTTTTATACACGATGTATATTTTTACGGCGTAATACACTTTGCTACATTTGGCATTTTTTTGACAATTTTATCAGCGTATTGTCAGTGAGTTCGTTTACGCTTTACATAAGCATGTCAGTGGCTGTCGTCCACATTGTCGGTAATCTAATAGATGAAAGGCGCGGACGATTTCGTGATTTTGCCAGTCTCAGGTATTCGTGATGTTTTTCTGAGATTGTTATCTTTTATTGATTGTGATCTCTGATGGCATTGATATGACGGAATTGCCAGTTGTGATTGATGGAAATGCAGTGTCAGGAAGATTTCGTGATGCATGGCACGGAATATATTGGAACGAATTATAATTCGTCACGACAAAGATTTTCAATATGGTCATGATGAAATGTTTTCGGAATTCATGCTCTATTGTTTTGTTTTACCTCAACTATGAAGTAAAAAATAATCATTAAACTTTAGCATTTATATCAAACATCGCCAGAAAAAAGATCACTTATAGTTGGAATCATATTTACATAGAACGAAATAATTATTTAAAAGGTATTAAAACTCAATATTAAAAAAATGGGAACTGTTGTTTTTGTTTTGCACAAAGACAAATTTAGATTGGAAAAATAAAAAAGAGGGAGCTGACTTTCATTTTTAAAAACTCTTTTACGTAAATTAGGATCTAAATGACGCTCGATCGAAGGTCAAGACCTTTGTTCGATTCCCACAGATAATTCCGATAACTTAATAAAGGAGCAATTATTCTAAGATTGGTGAGACAGAAGAAGACGATGACATGCGATCCATACTAAAATAGTTCTTTTCAAAAAGGCGTCGCCAGTAAACAAGAGTCCTGCCACCACAAATTGCAACTGATGGGTCCGATACTGGGCTCATAGACAGGTGAGAAAAACAAAAAAATATATAATTAGATATTTTCTAAAGGCTCAATAGGGGTTATTTATCCTTTGAAATTCGTCAATTTGACATTTTGATTTGATATGTTTGATTTAAACTTTTATAATGAGTAAAAGATTTTATCTGAGATGCATTTATCCAAATTACGAAAAACATGAGACAATTTCCGAGAGTTCTCAGTGTGTTACAAAATTGTGTGTTCTGATTTTTTTTTCAAAGGCTCCTGCCAATATCAAACGCATCGAACCCTTGCAATAGTATACGCAATTCTTGTTGCAATAAAAACGACATTTTGTTTTTACTTCCAGTATTCTGAATAATGTTATTGTGTAATTCAAATGTGATATTTTCATATTAATATTATCTCCATTTATGCGAAATTTAT